CACATGAACACTTACGTTTCGCAAAAAAGTGACTCCAAGCTCAAAAAGAACTCCAATGTTCGGGGACAAAGAGTTGCAGCGAAGGAAGCAGTCTCCGTCCAGGATAGTTGGCAAGATGCTGGTCATCTGACAAACGTAAAATGCAAAAATGAGTAAACGTCTTTACCTCTAGAGAGGGTAACATGATCTCAGTGTTCAGTGTTTATGATGAGGACAGCCTCAGTCCTCTCATACCCTCGGAGAGAAGTTCCATGTCTTTGGGTTCTTTGAGGTGTACGACGCCCTCACCGTGTGGATGTTACTCAACACCTGGAAAATACATTACGATCTAGTTTAAATAAATTAGAATAACTATGTTGTATGTAACAGAGAAAAGGCCTGATACCTGCGCTCCATCAAAGGCACACATACGGATGTGTCTGCTGAGGACCTGAACTCCGACCCCAGGAGTGGGAATCATCTTGCAGCTCCACAAATTAAAACAAACACAGTTCCTGACCTGGCGAGCACGGACCTGCACAAGTTAACAAAAATAGCCTGTTCTTGTCAGATGGGTAAATACTGCAAACTCTAGAAAGAAACATTGTTAAATTAAACTCTATGAAGGTTGTGCAGGAATAAAGACATGCATAGAGAAGCACTCACCCTGCCGGTGTCTGGGTCTAAGAAGAGATCTTTAAAGGAAAGCTGTGATTGGCTGAGCTCAGGTTGAATATAATAACTTCCTTTATATCGCTCCCCTTTAAAAAGACGAAAATATTGACAGTTTTACCTTTTAATCAAACAATATATTGAAAAAATGGCTTTCCTACAAAGAGTTATATTTACCAACAATGACATTTTCCCATGATTATTCACAAACCCTCCATCTACCTATGACCATGTATAAAACCATGAACCACACACACAGCTGGAAAATGCAGCAAGAACTCTAAACGGTCATTTTTAGACGAGCTATTTTATCAAATCTATTTGTTTTGATTGAGATTTTATTTGAGCAAAAATTAAGAAACTAATAATTTTTAAGCACATGTGTACAAAATGGTTTCTGTACAGGTTTGAAGGGAATATATTATCACATGTGGCTACAAATTGGGTACAAATTGGCTGAATTGATCCAGAGCCACGTTTTCGACCTTTGTCTTGACAGGACAGTTTTGGAGTTTAATATTTCACAAAATCCAAATGAGTTCTCATGTAAACCAGAGTTTTGCAGCTTGATAAGGACAGTGGTTGTGCATACAGAGAGAGAGCAGCACTAGATGAATAATGACCTTCTTCTGCCAGGAGTTTACTGAGAGTTGATGGCCTGAATCCTGAAGGAATGGCTCCCATTGCTGACAGCACATCTGTTGTATCAATCTGTCACAAGCACATACAGTTAATGTCATGTACTTAAAAAAAAAGCAGTTTAAGTTTTTATTTGGAGACACTAATATTGCTAATACTATCAGAAGGTAGAGAATATATACAGAATTTATGCCAGATACACAGTTTTACCTCCGTCAGAGCCTTTCTGACAGTTGACCAGTTAGTAGCTTTGCTGTGAAAGACAAAAGCAAGATGAACGCAAAACAAATAAACAAACAGGGCTGGTAAGATGACTTTTTCTTTTTTTTTTTTTTTTTTTTTTACAGTGTCTCATAATAATTTGGAGAACATCCAGAAACAAGACAATTTAACCTGGGTAGATATATGACATCATACGTTTTGTTTTCATCGTCTGTCTCGTCTTCATCTTCATCTTCTTCGTCCTCCTTTTCCGACTGCTGGATTTTATCATCTTCATCATCGTCATCGTCTTCATCCTCGTCCGAATCCGAATCCTCGTCATGCTCATCATTAATGCCAACGCCAGTCTAATAAAAATCAACATACAAAACAAAAAGAAAGACTTTTCCAACAAAAAGCATAAAAAATTTACAACACCAGCAGGTTATATTTGAATTTTCTTGGTACAACTTTGAATTAACATTATCAGTCAAGCACTGGTGAAATTTAAACCGTTGTGGTTTACCGCATTTCTGCAGTACCTTCAGATAGGTTTTAGGAACAACTCCTCTGTTCCCTATCTTGTCCTGAGCCAGCCACCATCCATCTTCTGTCTTTTTAATTATCTTCAGCATGTCTCCTTTCTGAAAAGGTAAGAACATATCAAGAAACTAGCCTTAGCTTTGGTGATGAAAGGAAAAGGCTTCCAAGTATTCAACAACTTATGTTAAAGACAACATTGGGGGGAAAAAAAGAACCACAAAGCAGACAGAATCCACTTAAATTGGACATTGAAATAATTTGATCTCATTAGCTACCAAAACTTTATGCATCATCGCCTGCACAGTTATCGACAGACATACAGCTATTTACCCGAACAGACAAATCTCCTTCCTGCTCTGCTTTGAAATCACTGAGGACCTTGTAGATTTGAGGGGCTGACTGAGAGGGTGACTTTTCAGACGTACTTCCATCCCCTTCATCTTTTCCATCACTGTCTTCCTCAAAATTATCTTCGCTGTCGTCGTCGTCACTATTGTTGTCAATATCTTTTGTTGAAACTTTGCTACAAGTACAAAACAAAAACAGAAGAAAAAAAATGTATGTAGCGCATTTTATCATTTTATTGACATAATCAGAGAGCGAATTCTGGTAAAACACAGCATACTTTTTACAATGAAAAATGTGAATGAATACAATTTGTAAAAGGTCAAACACATCATACTGTATATGTAAAACAAATCAGACAAAACAAGAAAAATGTGTATACAAGATGTAAACTGTGAATTTAATGTTGAGCGATTTCATTTTATCTATTCATATTTTATTATTTACAAAAAGTATACATATTACCCAGCGTGAGTGCTGGGGCCTGGTGGTGAAAGCTCCAGAGACAGGGAGACCAGATGCTCCATGATGTTTTGCAGACGTCTCTCCTCTTCTATTTTCCTCTGATCATAGTTTCCCACTGGAGCCAGCTCATCAGCCTGAAAACCAACATCAACAGAAATCAACAAAGTCAATTCAGTGACAACTTGGAAAACAAAGTTAGTTTGGCAGATGCACCCTAAAATGATAGAAGTATTTGCTGATAAAGTATCATCATATATAGCATGATGAAAGTCTAGTTTATTTCATTAAATAGTGCTGTGGCACAATACATTTCTTGCAAATGTATTACTGAAACTGTGTCACATAGAGGAACAATATTCATTTTTTCTGAAAGATTAACATCTTTAAGATATAAGGTATAATACTATTTAGGTAGATATAATATCAGCTATACTGGTGCAGTTCCCAAATATCATTTAATATGTATAATAGCAGGACACGTACCTTTGTCAAATTCTGTAGAGTCTTTAGAGTCTTTTCTGCAGAAACTTGCAACTCGTAGCATCTGCTCACAATATTCAGATTTAAACCAAATAAATACATGTGCTAAAAACCAAACTGAGACTAGATGAAAGGAATTAAATGAAATATGAAATTCAGATGAAGATAGTAGCAGAAATATTTCTACCAACAGTCCTTTATAACTGCCCACCTATGCAGTGCCTCCTCTTTGGATCCATATTGGCTCTTCACACTCTTTTCCAGACTCTCAAGCTGTTTCACAGCAAAACAATGAAACTCTATGCTCAGTCAAGTCTCAATTGTACAACAAAATATACATGTTGCATATCTATTTAAGTCTACGTTAACACTGTATTTAGCTATGGCTTCAGGACCAAAAACTCTACGGTTTAGCTGAGGTTCGTTAAAAATCACAATTCGTCGTTTGAAGAATAAACTGTAGCAAAGCTAAGGCGACTTTCTGACACAAACCTGTCTTTTGACTTCGTCCACTTCTCTTTGTGCGAGCTGCAGCGGCCCTCGCCTTTTCGGAGGCATTTAAGGACTCTTGGTTCACAAACAGCTTTCGTTAGCCCAACAATTAGCTCCTAACTGCTATAATGCGTCCACTCGTCGCTAGGCAACTGACTTCTTCTTTGGATGCTGTTGCGGTGGTCCGCTTATATCTGGGTTTCTGTTTTATTCATTAGGTTATTTGTCACGTATATATGTAATTTTTTGTATATGTTGTCAGTCTTTGGTTTCTAGTGCATAACTACAAAATCTGCCAGACTAGCATTTAGCTAAAAAATTAGCACTGGCCGCTACCGCCATCTAGTGGGCTAAACATGTCATTGTCGCATATGTATCCACCAAAAGTGAAAACGCCTCAATATTTATGAGTTAAATCATATTTTTTGGCTTCTGGTGCTAAGGCGAGAAGTTCAACTGGTAATTTAGTCACATTTACCTTGAAAATAATTGATTTATTCTGTATCAATTACAGGAGAATTGATACAGAAGTAACTTAACTAACCAGTTTTTCTTTTAGTTACATTTTATATTTTGTCTTAATATTGATCTTTTTCTGTCTTTTTGCCACAATCAGATTAACATTAATATTTCTTCATGAACCTATCGCCATTTATTTGTGTGTCTTCCGGGATCCTAGAATATTAATGACGTCTCTCGTTTTCTTACTGATGACTTTTTTTTTCTTCATATGACACAAATATGGTTCGATTGGATTATTTATGTATTTAAATAACTCAAATTATACACACTTATACGCCACTTATTTATTTGTTACTCCATTAATTATCTCCTTCAGTTGTCTTTTTATATTATTATATATGTATATTTCATAATGGCCACGTGCAAAAAATTATGTGGTTTTAAAAGTGGCCTGTAGAGGGCGTAACTTTCTTGTTGTGAAACATGTTGCCTTCATGTACACCTTGTTTTTTTTCTTACCATCTTTCAGAAATAACTTTCCACAAAGTTTAAATAAGTCTAAGACGGAACCTCAAAAATATATAATGACTTATAATATATTTGCTAAAAGTGACAGATATTTAAACCTCCTAGATCTTCGTCAAACTTTTAACTGTCATAAATACGAGGCGTCCAGTGATTTTGAAGGTAGCAAAACGATGCTTATGACGTCACGCGTGCTGTTGATACGCGAGCCATGGCTGCTCCTGTCGCTCTCATTCAAGGTGCCAGCAGAGGACTGGGGCTTGAATTCTGCAAACACATTCTGAAAAACAAAAGCCTCGCTGCTGTCGTGGCGACATGCCGAAACCCGGACGGAGTGGCGGAGCTGCGGGACCTGGCGGGACAACACCGGGGCAGACTCACGGTCCTGAAGCTGGACGTGAACCTGGAGGAGGACATCCGCGAAGCAGCTGAGCGCGTGAAGGAGGACTTCGGTCGGGTGGATCTGCTCGTGAACTCTGCGGCGATGCTTCACCCCTCCGGGAAAGGAGAGACGAGCTTGAGGGACGTTTCTGCGCAGGTACAGCGTGATTTAACAAACTTTTTTTTGTGTGTGTGTGCAAAGATTGGAGTCAAAACTTTCTATAGAAATGATGTCAAAACATATTTAGACAATAAATGTCTATTTTTAAAGTTATTTTAAGTGGCAGCTTAATTTTATTTAGGGGTATTAGAGTAAAGGAGGCTAAATGCAATCTCTTTTTTGTCTGAAAACGATGTGTCCCAACAATCTGAGGTTGCTGGCTGTAATGTGACTAAATGGGTAGAAAGTTGCAAGAATACTTTTGTAAGACACTGCAATAACTGTCTGAATTTTTAAAGCATTTTTGCATTCATAAGATGCACCTCACAGCTCAGTTTTCACCTCGTTTTAGGGCATCATATCCACCTTGACGACCAATACGGTGGGACCCCTGGTAATGGCCAAATATTTTAGCCCTCTCCTTCAGAAGGGCGGCGGCGCCTTCGGTCAGCAGCCTCCAGAGAAAGCGAAGCAGCACAACGGCATCATCGTTAACATCACGGCGAAAGTTGGGTCCATTGGAGACAACGGTATCTTTAGTGTGACGTGTGGTTCGCAGTGCCCTTTTTGGTGTTTCACATAACGTGTCGATTCAAGCAGAGAATAGAGCCAAGAGTAAAATCTCATGCAATGTGCTTTTTCTTCTCCCAACCTCTTTGCCGCACCCCAGGTCTAGGTGGCTGGTACAGCTACAGAATGTCTAAAGCAGCTCTCAACATGGCTACCAGAAATTTATCCATAGAACTGGGCCGCAGTCGACCCAAGGTAAACGTTCGCTTGTACTCAACTTTGTATTTTGGGGAACTGTTCTTTTTATCCAGCTGAATAGGAAACATGGTCATTATTTTGTTTTTTGTTGATTTATAAATTTGATTTCTGCCTGAACTTTTGTCCGGATAACAATCCAAGTGCAAGCAAAAATGATGGACGAAAGTATTTCTATGCACCTCCATTTTCTTTTCTGTTGTTCCTAGGTGGTGTGTGTGTCTTTACATCCTGGGACAGTTAACACGGACCTCTCCAGGCCTTATCACCGGAATGTGCCAAACGACAAGCTGTTCAGTGCTGAGCACTCTGTGAACTGTCTGATGGACATCATTAATTCACTAAGCATCGACAAGACCGGGAAGGCGTACAGCTGGGATGGGACCGAGCTTCCTTGGTAGAATCAAAAAAAGTACACAGTGTGTAGATGTGACTTTAACCTCTTTGCGTCTCAGCAGGTCATGCTCTGATTAAACAGGAATTTTACCGTTGACTCAATGAAAACGAACCGGGTGTTTTTTAACATTATAATCAAGTCACAGAGAAACCTTGTTCTCTACCTCGACACCAAAGTGCATAAATTAGGATCAATCCTTTTTGGCAAGGGTGCATGTTTTTGTGAACTTTAAAAACATGTTCACAAATAAAGGATGTGAAATACTTGGTGTGTATGATCTGATCTGACAGATGTGCAAGTTAAGTCTTAATCGCTGCATCTATCTCTGAGTCGGAGTTTGAGGTCGGGTTGGTTAAGACTCCTCCGCCTCTCCAATTTGGACGTCCATCTTCAAGGTGTTTATTTGTATTTTTAATTTTATTTTTTAATTAAGAACTTGGCTATTCCCATCAACTTGGACCAGATTCCTATTCCCATTTGAAGAAAAACAACCCCAAAACATTTTTAAGTATGAGGTTGGAGTTTTCAGGGTGATGCATGGTGTCGGCTTCATTCATGTGTCCTCCTTGGCTTATTGCGAACTGTAAATCAGACTTTCAGCTCACAAAAAGAATATTCACCAAACAGTGCAAGTCTAGCTCCTACGTGGGTAGGGTGTTCCAACCTTTTCCTTATAAAGAAGACATATTTTTGCATATCTTGTGTTAAAGTTATATATTTTTGTTGTCGTTTGAGTGCAATTAAATCACTTTCTTTCCCTGACCTAATTATGTTCTATTTTTTTCCACACAAGTGTTGAAAATTAAATCTGTTAAAATCTGTCTGCAAATACTGAAGATAAGGAAACATGTTTAGAAAAGAATTGAGCTTGCTTTATCTGGGCCCTGGATGCAGATGTAGTCCAGTCTCCCAAGGAAATCAAAGCAGCTTCTCCAAATGGACAACAATCTAAAGTATCAGCTGCAGCTGTCTTGTTGGGCCTTGCACAGCATTGTCTGGGTTATGAATAAACTCATCTTTTAATGTTTTTATGTACATCAACATAATTCCTACCAGGTCTGGTTTGCTTTTTGTACATTTAAAAGACAATGACGTAGCACAGTGAAATTCCTAAATTCATAAGGGAGGCTGACAGTGACCCCCAGACCCCACCATGTGTGCACTTAGGTGATGTAGTAAATTTGGTTTTACATCTTTTTCCCTGTCAATGAATAACACAAGCACTCCTTAACCATAAGAGGGCAGCATTTGTTATAAACAGGTCTCTCCTTCCATCTTTTTTAAATATCTCTCACTACTCTATCAGCTTCGGATTGAAGGACCCCTTACTTTTGATCATCTCCATATAACACTGTTACTTAATTATAATGTAATTAGGGTTATCTATTTCAGAATATCACATTAATGTGTATAAACACAGTCTGTTTCCAGAAACAAAGGTGGATTTTTATATGGTACACCAACACAAAGTGGGGCATAAATGTGCCAAAACTTTCTCCAGCTGAACAGAAACAAAACTGAAGTCATTATTTTTGGACCTAAAGAGGAACGATCTAAAGTCAATGCACAGCTTCAGTTATTACAACTAAAAACTGGACTCGAACTTGAACATTGCGAGCCACATAAAGACGATTACAAAGTCGGCCTTCTATCACCTGAAGAACATCTCCAGGATTAGAGGACTAATGTCTCAGCCAGATCTAAAGAAACTCATCCATGCGTTTATCTTTAGTCGCATTGATTATTGTAACAGTGTCGTCAGGTCTGTCCAACAAATCAATCAAACACCTGCAGCTGATCCAGAACGTTGCTGCTCGTGTTCTCACCAGGAAGATAGAGACATAACACCAGTTTCAAAGTCCCTCCACTGGTTCCCTGTAGCTCAAAGAATAGATTTTAAAATACTGTTGTTAATTTATAAATCACTGAACGATTTAGCACCACAATACATCAAATATCTGCTGTTGTTGTATCAACCTTCCAGACCTCTCAGGTCTTCTGGTTCTGGTCTGCTTTGCATCCCCAGAACCATAACCAAGAGAGGAGAAGCAGCTTTCAGCATCTATGCACCAAAAATTTGGAACAAACTTCCAGAAAACTGTAAAACAGCAGAAACCCTGACTTCCTTTAAATTTCAACTAAAAACACACCTGTTTAGAATTGTATTTGAAATGTAATATGTAACAACGTATTGTTTATTCCATGATGCATGACTTTGTGTTTATGTGCTTATGATGTAAAGCACTTTGAAATGCCTTGCTGCTGAAATGTGCTAAACAAATAAAATTTGCTTTGATAACAAATGTATATAGCACATGGTTTTCAAAAAACTTTTTAAAAATACAAATCTAACATGCTTGCATCTTGGCTCTTTTATTAAACAATTAGTAAACAAAGCAACTATTTGAATTAGTTGTCTGCACAATGTACTCTGTGCGTAAAATTTAAAATGTCTGCATCGAGTCTTCAAGGGTGCGAATTGGAATCCGTCAAAATGAAGCAGGGTCTTAACATTTTTCTGCCTTTTTCAAAACAATCTGGTCAATAAAGGGAATTATTGTGTTATTGCATCACCCGGCTGGATAAAAAGTATTGTATATGAGAACATTGATCTTCACATCTCAGAAGACAGAACAATGTCCTATTGGACAGGCCTTAAGTCTCTTGAATGTTTCAGTTCAAGCACAGCTTTGTATTTGGCCTCACTTGTTTTGATCACTAATGTTTGGAGGTGTTCACAGAACAGCAGTGGAGATTTAATCTTCATAAATATTGCTAAATATTTATGGCATTGCTTTTCGGACAATTCATTTTTGCATTCGGATTTTATTTGGGGGCAACACCTGAGGGGGATCAAATAGACATGCATGCCACACCTTTCAAACTTTTCTTCTGTGACATTTTAAGATGGCATTATTTAAAACTGGTGAATATATCAAGATGAAACTCCCAAGAGAAGAAGAGTCTTTTTTCATTGATTGTCTTCCTTGATCCAGTTGACATTGTTGTTCGACCTTTGCTCATCGACTGGAGTTGCAAGTTACCTAATACGCCCTTTGATATAGTCTCTCGCATAAGAATAATAAAACAAACGTGTTCTTCTTCTGTAATTAACCTTCGAGAGAAAATATTTTTATGGGTTTTTTTTACAGGCTGCTTTTTCGGGGTTACTTTAGTTCAATTTTTGGCAGCGTGAAACGACACATCACGCGTGCAAAGGACTGCGGACAGCAAGGCTCATAAATAAAGCGCCCACAGCTGGAGGGTGGTGTTTAAACTCCGCTTTTAATCTACCGGCGAGGAGCGCGATACGGAAGTGCCCGTTCTCGTGTTTAACATTAGTTTGTTAGTCACTGATTTATTTATTTATTTTACAGCAGAAAAACCGGTAGAGGGAGGAGGACGGGTGCGATACTCTGCTGGCTGCGTAGCCACACATTCTTATATACTTACACAAATACACACACGGGCTGCTGCTGCGCCTGCCAGGCTCTCAATGAGGGGGAATGACCGAGAGTGACCTCAAAGGACACGCTATGTTTTAGCGAGTCTTTCCATTTTGAAACTCAGACGGCTTTTCATTAAAAATGAGGGCGAGCATTTTGCTTGGCGTTTCAGCGTAAGGACGGCATTCGCTGCTCGCGCGGCGGTCTCACAAGGCTGCCAGCGCGGCTAGTGTTAGCCAGCTAAGCTAAGGAAGCTAAAGCCTACACCGGCTGTTTCCCGCATATGCTAGGCTAGGCTAGCGCTGCCATGGATAAAGCGAAGTCATTGGTGGACAAGAAGGGAGCGTCGGGACCTTTTCATGTCAACAACGTACAGAGTCCGAGAGGGTTGAATAGCCTCGTCGTGGTAGCCGCTAACGGCGGCTGCTCCACCAGCAATACATTCGGCTCAGGCACCGGACCAGGCAGCAGTACTTTTGAAATGCATCACTTGCAGCGTGGGGAGGAGAAGGACTGCAACGGGTCCCCGGCAAAGAGAAGCCGGTTGCGAAGGAGGACGGAGTCGGTGAAACGGAACAGACCTCGTAAGTTACTGTAAATGGAACATGTTACAGTCAGGCATTTACTGTCACTGCTCTGATAAGATGATGAGTGTTGCTGATTGTGTCACTCCAGCTGGCTGCAAGGTTTTGCATAATTGCACCGCCTCGCAATCATAGCAGATTCACTCTGACCATCTTTCTGTCCCGTCATTGATTATAGCCTATATATATATATATATATATATATATATATATATATATATATATATATATATATATATATATATATAAAATCTATTTAATCACTGAGGAGTCGTGTTCGCTTTGCTGCTCAGTCATACAGCCTGCCGTCGCCAGGGAGACCTCCTTTTGTATTTATCAACCCTCGGGTTGCATTTGGAGAACTGTGATTGGTCGCTTTCCGGTGGTGAAAAAGCTCCTGATAAGTGGGCCTAGCTTGTCTCAGCCAATCAACGCTCGACTCTTGTCTACAGGAGGAAGGGTGAATGGGTAGGAGGAATCCACCCCTATGCTTACCAAGTGTTTAGGAAGATGTGAAGATCATCCTAGTAAAGTTCACAGGTCCAGCGCAGAATGCTGAAAGGAGTTGTTTTCTTTTCTCCGTGAAGTCTTCATAAACACCCAAAACAGATAGCTGCATTTTAATTTCTGCTTTTTGTAATCCGCTCCTGCATAGCATTCAGAAAGCCTTTTGTGTGCCTTCTAGGGCATATATTTTGCCTAACAATGAAGCTTATAACGGAGAAGAAACCTGGTAAGTGTGAGTTAGTTTCTGCTTCATTATCATGACAAAACTATTAAGAACTGCTAACAGTGAACTTAAGCTTTACCTGTTTTTTTTTTTTTTTAGGTGTGGCATGTTTTATAGTTGTTGTTAGAAAACTGCTGGGATAAAACTAGCAGTTAAATACTACTGTTAAATATTTAAGAAATATTTCTTTTGGCTGCAATTTGCTGCACATTGCACTTCTTTGACTAGACCCTTAGGCTTTGTTGTGGTTAAAACTGGTTATTTGGGTTCAATTTAATCTTACTGTGTGGACTTATTGTCAGATATGCTCACGCTCTGCAAAGATAGAGATACTGCAGCAATACAAGTCTGTTAGTCAGCCACAGTGCATTCCTTAAATTTTTAAGTAATTATGTTGGCTAGGGATGGTGATAGAAATAAAAATAGCATTGTGATTTATTTATTTTATGCTTTTAAATAATTTTTTTCATTTGATCACCCTTTTTCTAATAAGAAGTTTGTCACCATCCTTATCAAAAGTTTGGTCATCATTGCTGTAAGAAGGTCAGTTTTGCCAGATTTTTAACTGGATATGTTTGCTCTGCAGGAGGAAATGAGCAAACAGTTTAATATGTAGGTAACTTGTCACACAAATGTTCTTTGCTCCATCACTACACCAAAACATTTGCATGCGGCAAATCTGTTGTAGTAAAGTATAAACAAAATTATAAAAGCAACAAATAGAGATGTATTAATCAGTGTTTTTCTGGGTGACACCTTTAAAAAATATCAAAACTAGAAAGTGCAGGCATTACAAGGTTATTCCATGAAAGTATGTGGCTACCCTGATCTGATTTTTATAAGTACATTAAAACACATGCAGTTGGTTGATGCATTCACAAAATGTAAATGGTGGGGATTTCTAGTTATTGTCAGATATTCCCTGAGTTACAAAAAAAAAAACATTATACATTTTTATTTAAAACTGGCAGATTCTGATTGCATAACGTTTATGGTATTGTTTTCTTAGCAATTCATTTTTGCATTTCTTAAATTAAGTAAGCACAAGCAAAGTGCTTCTTTTGGTATATTTACACAGGAATTTGTTTGTCATGCTCTCTGACTGAACTTGAATATGTGAATTATAGGTTTAAATTAATATTAAGTTTACCTTAAAAAACTGAAAATGCTGGTTTAAGTAATGTACATAAACACGTTTTTTTTTCTGTTTTGTTTTGATTTTTCCTTTTAAAATAAATGTCTTTTTTTGTACCAGTCTAATTCCTCATTCACAAGTTATAGTGTTTATTTTGTGATTATGCAATTACATGAGCAGCCATCGTGATGACTTGGACTTCACCTCCCTCATATCTTTCCTTGTTTTCATTTCTATTATAAGCCACACCTGTGCAGTTTTGTGACAGTAACTTGCATTCTTATAATAAGCATATAATTGTGCTTATTGTGTTTATTATAATTGATGGACAAAATGGAGAGAATTTGTAGACAGATAATGGTACCAACCTACTTATACATGCAAAGACTTTCAGCAGGGTTATCCCTGATTACGAAGTTAAAGTCGCCTCTGTAATCATTAAGAGGTCCGGGCAGAGATTGTCTGTTTTATAGCTGACTTATCCTTGGAAAGAATCCAATCATCCCGATAAACCTGGATAAAATGTCTAAGCTTTTCCCCAGAAAGTGCTGACTCCGGAATGCGTTTCCCTCTGGGAATGGATTTTTCACTTTTGTTTCCTTCTTTGTGGCTTAGTTGGTTTAACATTGGGTGACCCAGTCTGACGTTTCTCTTGTTTGGACCGGAAGCAAATGTTTATACTCTGATGTCAGATGTGAAACGTTTTGGGATATTTAAGCAAATTGTCTTCATTAAAAAATGTACCCCTTGATCAGAGATGTAAATATATGTATGTAAAGTCATTAGAAATAAATGCAGCTTCTTCGTTCTAAGATATGTGAAGCACTTTAATGTTAAATAAAAGTTAGTTTTGGCAGAAAAATTTACTTTTTTTTTACTCCATTGCCATCACTGATCTTAACAAGAAGTTACTTTTCACCATCATTGATTTAAAAGTCTGAGTCCAAACTGTTCAGTCTTACGAATCCAACATTGTTCAGCTTCACATCATCCTGATCAGCGTGATAAATATAAATTCATTTATTTTTTTGCTGGTATTGGGAAAACACTGAACAAGCAAAATGTGTATGAATGCACATATTTTTTTTTTATTATTTACCAATGGGCAGATGACAAACGACTGACAATGGGTCTCCATGACAGCCAGGACCAGGTTTTGTGAAAGAGTGAGCTAAAACTCACCCAAAACAAAGTAAGACTGATGAGTCAGTGTTTTGGAAACATTTTTAGCTCATTATGACTTTGTCAAAGATAATGTTTCAGAGTGATGGATGAAAGCAGTGGAAATGAACTTTACCCATCAGTGAAAAGATGGGGTGTGGCTGAACGGGCAAATGTAATTGGTCGGACTCCTGTAAAACAAAACCGGGCGGTCACTGGCACAGCTGAGCTGTAGATATTTAAAAGAAGGTACAATTCAAACTCCATGAATGGGGTTGGGTTTATTCAGGATGTTGACTTTTAGTAATTGGGCAAAAAAAAAAGACTTAAAGTCAAGTATTATGACACACCCTACCTCTAGCTAACTATATATTTGTTCAGTTAAAAAAAAAGAACAAAACTGGAAAGATTAAACAGAACACACTTGGTTCTTAAAGTTGCTTCTTAAATATTTTAAGAGAACGTCTCACTTTATAAATTAATTATTAAAGGTTTACTTATGGAGTCTAACAATTGTAGCTTTAAAAAACAGTGGTGCTATAAGCTTTAAATGGTAGCATTGCTACAAAAATCAGTGTCTTTTGGTTGTGTTTAAAAAAAATCACACCAATAAGGTAGTCATATTAATATTTGAGGATAAAACTACTTGCTGAGAATATAAAACTTCTTTGTTTTTTTATCAGTGTGCCCACTGTATCAACACAATCTCCAGCCTGGCATGTGTTCCTGTTTTATCTCAGCCTTGTGACAGAACAGGACAGGACAATTAAAGTTTAACAAACAAAAGCAACACATGGTTTGCTCTCCTGTTGGCATGCGTACGCTTTATTCCACCATGTGGACATGCGGTGCAGAGCAGTTCTGTGTTCGGCCAGAGGCCTTTCACCTACATTGACTCGAATCACTCACTACTTTCTCCCTGTTCCTTCTCCTCGTCAAAGTGACCTTTGGCTGCGCACACGCACAGCACGATGTGCGTTTGTGGACATTTTTAATAGAATACCCTGGAGAGATGGTCCACCAGGGGAAGGGAAAGGAGAAAAATAGGTTCTGATCAAAATATTTGACATGTTTGGAAGAAAGTTTGTGTATTTTTTACTGGGTATTTGTGTACTTTAATCAAGTACTACCTGCTAGGAGACATTAAGGACTTTTCAGGCGTTTTCTTTTTTTCTACCAAGATTATAATCTTTGCCACAGAGATCGTCCTTGTGTTTTTCTGCTTGCCTGTGGCTGATGCATCAATCAGGCTGTTGGCAATCTTTTCACTGTTTTCATTTTGTCACCATGTACTTATGTCAATAGAATGGTTGCTTACTGATTCAAAGTTTTGGGCATAATTTCAAAAGAGCATCTCTTGCTCTTGAATTAACCTTTCCATCTTTTCCTAATCTCTATGCAGTATTTTCCGCTGCTGCGCAACCATACAGAATACAAGTATGAGTGAAGAACTTTAACAACAAAAAAATAAATAAAACAAAATATCTGCTATTAGTTGTCTCTTGCCCTGCTGCTGCAAGAAAACGTATCTAGTTTTTGACATTTGCATAAAGAAGTTTGATTCTCACTGAACTGCATACAGTAACTACATGAAATCATATTATAGCACGATGCCATTATGAAACTCCTGAAGAAATTTGTAAAAAAATAAAATAAAAATAAAAACATAATTTAATTTATAATTTATTGTTTTTGCAATAAATTGCAATTTTGTTTTTGAAAGTTTTTGCAATAATGGTAAACAATCCGATAAATGTCCATCCTTTGTTTGGGACACAATATCTTGTGGTGACAGAAAACAGTGGGTTTTTGAATGAAGTGCAACATGAATTGATTTAGATATGAAATTAATTCACATTTGTTGCTTGCCGTCTGATGAATCAAACCAGAATATACAGTAACACATTTCCAGAAACTTAACCTCTTGAGATCTGGTTTCAGGAAGTTTAGAGAGTCCGGTAACTGGCTCTGTGTAAACGGTACCTGTAAACTGTAACTTTTGAAAACCTCAGTTTGCCTTATTTTCAGTAACCATACCATCTCTAATATAGTTTTTATTTGCCTGCAAAACAGGAAAATGAAAAGAACTTTCCAGAGTAGAATTGGTATTTTGTCTTAAAATGTAGATTGATCATATCTAAATATGATCAATCTACATTTCAATGTAGATTGATCATTGAAATGATCAATCTATGAAATGAAAACAATAATAATGATAATACAGACCTTCCTCAAATCAATTCCTCATTGATTTGAGGAAGTATTTCTTTTACTCCTCCACAGAGATGTTGTCATCCTCCTTGCTGTTGGTTTCGTTGAAGCAATTTAGTGTCACAATGCATTTTAAGACATTTCCCATACAACCATAGGGAATCTGACAAAGCTCCAGAACAAAGGACTTCCAGTTAAAATTCAATTTAGAATCATATTAAAGTTACTATATGTAGTAGATTATATATTATCCAATCATGTTAAAATAATAGTCATAGTTTCACAATTTCTTCTGTCTGTTGCAGAGATTAAACCATGAACTTTTTGAAAACAATTTTTATGCTTTCTTTTTTGGAGATGAGAACATGTTCACTCTGCAAGCAAATGAAAGCAAACCAAAGCTAGGAAAAACATATTTTATGCAGCAATCCCTGGTCTAAATTAGCCTGAAAGGGAACTTTGCCCCTGTAATCCAGACGGTCAGTCTGACTCCTTGTTGTGAAATTGTCACATCTCCTGATCATCAAGTCAGAAACTCAGCTGCACAGATTAAATCACATGCAGACTCCAAGCACTTCATGCATGCAGCACACTGCTAGTTTAGTAATCAGTGTTGCAAATCTGGTTTATTTTCCTTAAAACCAAATTATGGATAATCTATGCAGCAAAAGTTCCAAAAGGTTGCATTTATCTTCCCAGCATGTCTCATTTTTTCTTTTGTTTTATAATTAAATACAAGCATTCAAGATTACTTTTAGTTATTCATCTGGTGTGCAATCAATACTTCCTCCTATTTTAACTCAGATATTGCGTGTTTGACTTTAAATTAAGCAATTTGCATATTGACATAACATAGGACCACTAACCTCTGCTTTCGAAAGATGTTTGGTGACTTGCATCAGTTTTTCCTTGACCTGCTCTAATTGCAACTCTATGTGCAACTTTACTCGCCCTGACACTGCAGATGACTAAAATCAGACTTTATTCCTGCTAAACATCTACACCGACATAAAAGCGTGCTGGTAGTAAATTTATTTTGTAATATTTTCAAACAAAAGTTGAACAATAACCCCCCCCCAAAAAAAGCGCTTAAGAACAGTTCTTTAGTTGTGACGGATTTTGCTGTGCAACGTTTCAGCACGAGGACTTGTGTTTACATGTGGCGTTCTGTGGTTTTCATTGTGCTGTCAGCTCAGTGTGTTGGCTCGCCATCATGCACAAAATTCATCACATTCCTGTGTTGAATACCGCTGCTTACCACGATATACACTTAAGTGGTAAAACGGCATCTTAAAGAATTATGTTGTTGTTTAGAAAGCAGATTCTCATGAAACTGTATTAGTTTTGCTTAACTCTGTACAGCTCAGCTAGAATAAAATGTAATATTTTAAGGCCTAATTTGTAGGTAAAGGGAGATTCTTTACTTTTTGACCTACAGTAACCTTTATCGTGTCACCCTGACTGTTGTAGCACCATCATTTCCAAACTTGTGTCAACTGGAACTTTATTTGTTCAGCTGCCTGAGCAAACAGAAGTGGGTCAGAGCTGGTGACTGCTAAAAATAGAGGATACACAACCAGAAACACATTATTAAGAAATCTCAAATTTATTATTAGCTTTATTACTTTGTAATTCTTATATATATAATCCAACTGTACATTTTTTATTTATTTGCTTGTAAGCTTTGTGATCTTGATGTTAAAAAAATGCTTCAAAAGTCTTCATGAAATAATTCCTGACATTTTAGTACAACTGTTTCCTGCTTAGTTTTTGTGCCTGAAATGCAAAATAGCAACATTATTTAAAATTTAAAAGCATTTAAAGGAAAAAAAAAACATTTCCAGTGCTGCTAAAAAGCACAACGTTAGCGGTCACCAATGTAATGAGGTCATCAATAACAGAAATGTGTTCTTTCCGACTTGAAGTTAAATCAAAGGACGGATAAAACACTTGCTGATATTAGTGGAGGCATTCTTGTATTTATTGCACAGAGTGATATCACAGTTTGGAAAAATGTAGGCTGCAGCCAGCTGACCAGCAGTGTGCAGCAGCAGGCAGGTGAGGGACTGCACTGCATTCATTTGAGCTTCATAATGACCGACCACTTTCTCAGTCAGTTGTATCAGTAATTGGGGCAGTTTCCTTTTATTTCAGTGACGAGACGCCGTCAATTATTTCTTTATAAAAATATTTTTGCGTATATTCGTGGTTAAAAACGATTTTAGCTCCGCGGCGCTCTGGACTCGTCCTGCAGTATCCGAGCCGACGAGACCTTACTATAATTGTGAGCATCAAGCAGGTGGGTGGGGGGCGAAGCAGAGAAGTACAGGAAGATGGATGGTATGCATAAAATCGCCTCAGAGGTTGAGGGGAAGCTGAGTGGAAGAGAAAATAGGCTGAAGACTGGATGAGAGACCGTGGAGGAAGGGAGGGTTACCTGTTTCCATGGGAACATTGGCTCTCGGTGAGCTGTGGCGATGTGCTTTATTTAATTAATTTATTTATTTACCAGCCTTTCATTCTGAAAGATTATGTCTTCTTCCAGTCAGATTCAATCTTGGACCAAACTCACCGCAAAAAGAAAATGGTGTCATCCCTGTTGGTGCCGAATGTAGCGCCACCATGCAGCCGCAGTGTGAAACAGGACTGAGATGGGATTGATTCTCCGCCTTTTTTTTTTTCCTGCCATGACATGAACAACAATTATGTTCAACAGTTATGCTTTTTAGAGCAATAATGTGTGATCCAAAGTTTTGTAGAGATGTAGAGATCACCATTTATTTTTTTCTGACACCAGTTTTGACCCATTTTAGTTGCTTTTTAAGAAAAAAGAGCCTGAAATCCCAGCACTCTCTCTCTATGATCACAGAATATCCGTACAGGCCCCATTTATGTACAAATTTGAGGTGACTTTAAAATGGAATGAGAAGCGTTCAGTATTTGACTGAAAAACTAAACTTCAACCAGCATATTTTGAACTGCATATGATGGCATAAAAATATGCTGACAAGACACATTATTTAAGGTCTCAATTTAGTTTCAATTTCATATGGAAAACTTGAAGAAAAAACTCCAAATGTCCTGTCATTTTTTCCCCCATATTTCATTTTTTTCAGACTTATTATTTAAATTTGAATTTCACTTCCTGAGAATAAGTGAACTGATTCTGTCACTTTAACTTTCAGTCATTAAACAAATACTGAGGTCTATATGTCTCCAACATTTGGAGAGAAATTGCTCAATGTGTGGTGAGTATTGATAAAGGGAAGGAGTAGTCTGTTTCAAGTATCGACTGGAGGCTGTTATGAAATCTCGCAGAGAAATTTGAGATCATCAAATGTTGGGGGATCAATTTGATTTTTCATGTTTTCACAAAAGTAATCTTTTCATGGTAACAGTAAACTATTTATTTTATTTTTTTAATTGTGCAGGTTTGACGTTCAGATCTGTAGCGTCTCATCTAATAGTAAAGAAGCTAATTCCATGTTTTCCTCTCCAGCTTTCCCGTGGTTTGGGATGGACATTGGTGGCACCTTGGTTAAGCTGGTGTACTTTGAGCCAGTCGACATTACTGCAGAAGAAGAACAAGAAGAAGTAGAAAACCTCAAATCTATCCGCCGCTACCTCACCTCAAACGTGGCCTATGGTGCGTAAGCTTACACACACGGTGTAATAAATGATCTCATGACAAAAAAGTCAGGTCCAGGACACTGATTTATTTTCTGTCAAAGAGAACGTTTTAATTTGCAAGCTAGCTCAGAATTGTTGTTTAGGAAAACATTTTTTTTTTCTTCCCCTCAGGTAAAACGGGTGTCCGCGACGTCCACCTGGAACTGAGGAACCTGACTATGTGTGGACGGACAGGAAACCTGCACTTTATCCGCTTCCCAACTCAGGCCATGCCCCGCTTCATCCAGATGGGACGAGACAAGAACTTCTCCAGCCTGCACACGACGCTGTGCGCCACGGGAGGCGGTGCCTACAAGTTTGAGAACGACTTCAGAACAGTGAGTCTGGCAAACAATGCTTGTATAGCTCATTATTTGCCTCCCCACTGTTGGACTTTACAACATGACCTCAGGTACATGTTGTATATATCAATTTCTGGTTTGTACAGTTTACTTCTACCAATTGTCTTTGCATCTGCCCACACAGCAGATGTAGGTCATGCATTAGTGAGCTCACATCGCCTTTTTCAGAAATTATGTGGATGTGGTATCTGTGTTTCTCTGACCCTGAAAAACCGACCCAAATAGATATTTTAAAATTTCTTTTTTTGTATTGTACAGCAAATATTTAAGTATTTATTTTATTCTGACTTGCTAAATGTCTCTTTGGGTTCTGGAAAAATATGAAATTTGATTTAAAGGGGCAATATCATTTAAAATCGGCTTTTTTGAGTTTTACATCATATTATCATGTTTTTCCCTCATCAAAACGCACCTTTGATTGTTTCATTCATTTTTGAGAAATCTCTTAATCTCCCATAGAAACCACACAGCTTTCCTGAATGCCAGTTTCCAAGGTTCCACTCAGCTCCTTCAGACTAGCCAGCAGCAATTGGCAAACACCTGCTGGAGCTGCGCATCTGCTGAGCTCATAATACGAGCTGCTTCTCTGTGAAATGCTGGTAGAAACATTGTTAAAGGGTTACCAAGAGGAGCGATGTTGTGATGACTTTCAGAAAGAGCAAGAGCTTCTTAAAGAAACAGAGGCCCAATATCAATCAAAAACGTTTTTTCTTGAGTGATGCTGCATGCTTGGAAAATGCATAATACTTCCCCTTTAAATTTAATAAAATATATGGGGAAAAAGTGATTATTCTGTACATGCATCCTCTTATTTGTCTGTGCATCCATTAGACTGCAGTTTTTGTGACATATGTCCAGAAAGCCTGCCTGTAGCTCTGTTTAAAGCAGCTTGATGCAGTCCCACCTCTATCTGTAACCCAGATGGCTGACCTGGAGCTGCTGAAGCTGGATGAGCTGGACTGCCTCATCCGTGGCCTGCTGTTCATCGATCGGGTCGGTTTCAACGGACATCCGGAGTGCTACTACTTCCAGAACCCTTCAGACCCCCAGAGCTGCGTGAAAAAGCCCTGCAACCTGGACAACCACTTCCCAATGCTGCTGGTCAACATCGGCTCTGGGGTCTCCATACTGGCGGTCTACTCGGAGAACAACTACAAACGGGTAACCGGGACAAGGTGAGGAGACCCTGGTGCAAATACTGAAAAAACAACAGATATGAAAATGTGAAAAAGTCACAGATTTAGGCTTCAGAGTTTTAAAGTGTTTTTAAAACCAGATGTAATCAAAGTTGCGCTGTCATATAGTCAATCAAAAGCAATTTGCAAATGTTGATTTCAAATTGAAAATGACATTTGGGTGGATCATTTTAGTAATGTTAATAGACAAATGAGACAACAATTAGTGAAGAAAAGGTATTGAAAAGCAGTTTAATTGGTAACATTGAAGGCCAACAGATACTCCACAAGAACAGAGAAATGTATCCTTCTACCAGAGGCTGCAAGGACAAGTTTCTCTCTATCAAGGACATTTTGTACTTCACAAAAACTCAAGAACAGAACTTAAGTGCAAACTCTTCATTGGCCTCTGCTCCCAAAGCACTCCACCTTCATGTTTCTCTGACAAAACACAAGAAAAAAGTTAAGTCAAAAACAAGCTGCAGGGATTTCTGAAGCAGTGAACAGAATGTTGTCATTTAGTTCTCGAATCGCCTGAGGGAAAAAATCGCTTTGTTCTTGCGGAGTTTGTTCAAAGAAAATTTCCAAGAATGCCTTTACATGTTGAACCTGTTTCTCTTAGGTAACACATTCACATGTAAAATACACAATAATCATTTTTCACTTTAACTTACGTGACCAGTAGAATACCGTATATTTCCACTTTAAATTTATAACATTGATTTTATTATTTGGTATTATCGCAATAACACCACTAATCAAGCTATTTATTGTTTATTAGTTATTTGTTGTACTAAACCAAAGGGTTTGTGCCTCACCTTACAAATCTTTTCCACTTAAGTGAAGTAGGTGTGATTAGAACGATCCTGAAAACGTCAGTGAGACAGTGACTTGTTCTACCATGTTGTTATGTCAGAAATAACTTCCCTATTGATTCATCCTCCAGATTAACTGTCACATTTTTGTTCAGCTGATAAACTAATTCAGAAAACTAACGGAAACAAATATGTTTGTTCATGCTATGTGACTATCTGGGGTTGTCACATTGACGTCAGGAACATCCCGGTAATTCAGGATGTAATTAAATTTATGATGCGGATTGATTACAAGTGGAATAACGCATATTTCGGGTGTGCATTTCTGCAACAAGACCAATTTCAAAAAGGTTGTTTAGTACAGAAATATGACTTTACAGCCATTTATAGGTTACATGTACAAAACTGACTTGGTAGTTTTCCAACAGACAGTCGTTGACACCATTTAGCAAGGATGGTCAGCCATGAAAAAGTGCATTGCTAAAGAAGCTGCGTGTGCAGAATTGAGTGAAAAGAGCATTTATGTTGAAAGAGGGACAAACGGAACAAGGATAACAGCAGCCTTGAGGAGATTGAGAAGCAAAGGTCATTGGAAAGTTTGACAATGTGTCCACTCAAGTCTTAAATTCATTTATCTAAAGCGAAGGCCTTAAAATATTTTACATTTATTTTGAAAAAGTAAGTTGACCTTTAATACTTTAATCACAGGTCTTCAATTTTGCAGGTCTACTTTGTCTCATCTATGTATTCTATATATATATATATATTTTTTTTTCTCACAGGATTTTTCTGTCAGGCAAAAATTTAAGTTGAATTTTCATTGGGTTTTGTAACACACTGCTAACGTAACTCTGCTAGCCAGCTGTGGTTTAATCATAATTGCGGCAATCATGGTTAAGTGGACATTTTTCGCAAGCTGGTTGGACAAAGTTTGTGCATTTCTGTGGAGATATAGGTCTTGAATCCCATTCTTAAAGGTCTTAAATTTGAGTTGACAAAACTTGCAGCAACTCCTGGTTCGAGGGAGATGCAAAGCGTTAAAGCCACCACACAATGGCCGATACAGGGAATGAGCTATGAATTTTATGTTCCTCTTTTTAAGCTCGTCATTTTTACATTTTGTTTGGTAACAGAAGTTCCAGAGTCTGGAGGAAGAGCAGAGACACACAGAGTCTGAGCAGCTAGGGGTCCTGATTATTTGAGGATCTGGGTCATCTAGTGATGTTGGTCCACGAGGTTTTATCAAGTTCAGAGACAACACAGTGGTTTATGAGGAAATTTACAGAGCAATTTGGGATTCCTTCTGCTGATATGTTTTATGTTTGATTTCATTTTCACTGCCAAATAGCAGTGAAAAATGAACACCTGCTTTAATGAATTAGTTGTCAAGAGGAATATGAGAGGTTCTGGTACCAACAATGCAAATGATGGGAAAGTCTTTATCAAATCAACCTAATTCATATAAATGCAGATGTATTTCTACAGAGGTTTCCATGGTGACTTCCTTGTGTTTTGCACAATCAGAATGAAGACAATTTTGAGATCGCATCTTGTGTTGTTCTGTGTTAACCTACTTTCACTCTTTAAAGCCTGCCTGAGGGCAATGACTTTCTGATGCAAGGATGCATTCTAGTTCAGGCTTTGGGTATAGTTCTGAATTAAAGTCACTTTTTAAAGCTTCTTTAACTCTAAACAAATCATTTATATCAAAACTCACAGGAATTAGTTTTTGGTTTAATTTTATTGATGCTAAAGGGCAGTTGGAAACAGACCTGAGAGGATGTTGCAGAGCAGAAAATCAAAAGGAGATCTGTAACAAAATCTGTAACAAAAATTTTTTTCAGTGCATTTCTTCATTTCCAATTCAAATTGCTCAATTCCATCCTCTCACTTTTTCAGCTGGTATCTTCTAAATCCATAAATGTCATTCTAATTTCATATTTACAACCCGCTGTTCCACTTGCGTCATCAGTCAAAGGCTTCGATTGATTGATTGATTCTTCTTGCCTTCAGCTCTTCCTTCTCTTACCTGACCTGCATTTTTTTTTTTTTCTGTCGTCTTCCTGGAACCCTCCTCACGCTTTCAGTCTGGGAGGTGGAACGTTCCTCGGACTCTGCTGCCTCCTGACGGGCTGCGAGACGTTCGAGGAGGCGCTAGAAATGGCCAGCAAGGGCGACTCCACAAACGTGGACAAGCTGGTGAAAGACATCTACGGCGGGGACTACGAGCGCTTCGGCCTGCAGGGCTCGGCCGTCGCCTCCAGGTGAGCATGACGTCGTTGTCACAGGTGGTTTCAGACGGAGGATGCCAAGCTTTTCTGGCATGAATTCACGTCATTGAACCCTAGTGGGGTCAGGAGGGGTGCTGGTGCCTATCTCAAGCTAACGTTTCGGGCGAGAGGCTGGGAACACCCTGGAGAGGACGCTGTTATAATATGTATATTAAATTATAATAAAAATTGGTTTGATTCACTGCTTTAAATCTTAATAAACTTCAGTGAGTCACCAATAGGCTTGATGGTTGGCTAATTCGATGCGTGTCACTAACCTGCTTGTAAATTCAGTTTCACCATGTGTGAAAACTGCAAGTTTCAAACATGATGAATAAACTCGCATTCTCCAATAACACGATGAGGATACAAATAATTCAAATAATTCAAATAATTCAGACAGCAGCAAAGCAAATCAGGCAACCATTCCCTAATCACACTGGTTTGCTGTGCTTTTTGTATGTGAATTATAAACTTGCAATTTGTTACAAAGGTTAATCCGTATAGGAAGATGGCGGGGGGGATTTTATCACAACAATCAAATTATAATCAATGTTGTTATGATGTTCTCTGTCATTTATTGTGACAAAGCACTCGGTGATGAGCTGCACCTGTTGAATTATGCAACCCAAGATTATTTTCTGAGATGTTTTGGTTTTTATTGAGATTTTTGATTTGATTTTGATTGGTTTATTTCGACAGATTCATGGTTCAATTAGACATAAAAAAAGAACAAAGATACACAACACCACATACAAAAAATAAATAAATTATGAAAGACTTGCATGCCAATGTTTCCTCAAAGCCGACTAGTGTGACAGCGCACCGACAGAGGGATGTTAAAACATTACAGTAAGACTTCTCGGAGCGGCACAAACGACACAAAAACTTGGCTATCACTGCATGAGTGCCTGGAATGTTGTGACATGTGCGTTTCAAAACATCTCATTTTATTTAGTTTGACCTGAAGCGAAAAGGAAGATAACCGGTTGGTGCTCAGCGTAGCTTGATGTTTGTCTTTCTGCTTGTTTTACAGCTTCGGTCACATGATGTGCAAAGAGAAGCGAGACAGCATCAGTAAGGAAGACCTGGCCAGAGCAACACTAATCACCATCACCAATAACATAGGATCTATAGCACGCATGTGTGCTGTCAACGAGGTATTTACATGCACCTACACACAGATGCTAAGTCTCATGTTAAGCAAATTACAGATCACTAGGGGGCGCCGAAGGACCACCAGTGGTCCTGAGCCCAGAGTTTGTTACCAACAGACAGCCAGCGCAACCGCCTGACAAAATAATAAATAAATAAATAAATAAATAAAACAGTGAAGCAGGGTGTTTCCAGGGTAATGATTTAACAAAACAAAACTATGTTCCTTGCGCATGGAGCTTCAACTTTTTTAACAAACACACAAAATTATTATTATTTTTTTTTAACAAGACTATAATTAATTCCCCAGAATGTTTTAATCACGGGAAATCGCAGGAATGTGATATTTTTTACTTATGGAACCACAAAAATCAAAGATACTTTTGGACATTATGTCCACATATGGACATAATGAAGTCAGTGGGCCGTGCTGGCTCCGTCTCTCTCGTACCTCAGGGGAAAGTTGGGTGAAAAGTGGACAGTGGGGTTAAGAGTCTCATGCGCAGCAGGGACCAATCAGGAGTGTTTCTGCGTGCTGTGAGCTTCTTTACAGTGTTGCCTTGTGGCATGGCGATCAAGCAGCATTGTACAGGGCTATCACTGCATGCAGATCTGCAGCAAGGACAGATAAAAGCAGCCAGGGTTATATTCTTATTATTGCTTTTACCATTGTTCTTTGGAATTAATTTAGATGTCAATAAAAGTAAGCATCAAAATTTGGTCCTTCATTCTCTGGACTGTGTGACCCGTTAAAAATAGTTCATATTGTAATAATCTTGCCTGAATATTTTCCCCTCTGTTTTTAGAGAAGATGTTTTTATTTTTTTCTCAGTTTTTGTAATCCACATGAATGAATTGGACTCAACTTGCAATAGTATCAGTTTATTGGCACCACCTGGTGACTGATGAGGGTTACTGCAAAGGTTTCTGAACGTTTGCAACAAAAAGCATTTATATAATTTAATTGGAGGATGTACTTTGGCTTCTGTTCATACAAATCTTCATTTAAAAATGTGACAGCATTAACTTATTCTTGCTATTTTTGACACGTTTAACAAGGCAGTATTTATTTATTTTTCAAATTCCGTGTCTGTTTCAGAAAATTGAGCGGGTTGTGTTTGTTGGGAACTTCCTTCGGATCAACACCGTGTCCACAAAGCTGCTAGCCTACGCCATGGACTTCTGGTCGAAAGGGCAGCTACGAGCCCTCTTTCTGGAGCATGAGGTGAGCAACAATATTCAGAATTTCTTCGATTTTCTTAAAATAGCTTAATGCAGCTGAAGTACGGTAAATGGAATACTGTGTGTTAAATGTATGATTTAAAAAGAAAAAAAAGAAAAAGCAACAACTTTATTGCTGTCTGGGAAAAAAAAGAGAAAACGAAACTCAATTTGAATCTAAAAGTCTTAAATTCACTGTCATACAAACGCATAGAGGATCAGGAGTGTCTTTTGTAATGAATCTTTATTCAAGTCAATTAAGATGACCTAATGCTCCTGCTTAAACTGATTTAAAGCTAAGAAGCTCGCCTTCATCTGCGTTAACTTGGCGGTCTCCTACTGGCTGAAAAGGGGTATCACCAAACTGTTGTATAAGCACTAATGCCTACTACAACACATAAATGAGAGACATGGTGATGCTTCAGTGATGCGTTGATGTCAAAAATGAAATTGTACAGGAGTCCGTCCTGATTTGGTTTGGTCCCTTCCTTCACAAAATCACCTCGCTGTGGACATTAACAATCACACGTACGTTTTGAGAGGAAAACAAAATAACTTGAGTCGAAACTGGTACTAAGACAAGAGGTTAAAGTTTACACGACTGGGATCAGTTGAGTATTTAAATTTCAAAGTTGGCGTTGTTGGTCCATTAAATGGATGCCTACCTTAGCGATAGTTTGGACTTGCAGCGTGTTTTTATGTTTATGTCTGGAAATAATTTGCTATTGTTTATTTGACATTCTTTTATTGCTAAAATGATTTATACTCCTGGCATATTTAAATTTAAAGTTATTGTTAGAACCATCGATAGAGTATTCGATAACTAAAATAATTGCAGTGTGGTCCAGTTTTCTCTAACTCGCCGTTTTCTTCTACATTTCCGTTTCACATTTCGTGTTTGGTTGTGCTTCAGCTGCCGTTCACCCTCAGTTTGTCCCTCGTTTTGCTCCAGGGTTACTTCGGAGCGGTCGGAGCGCTGATGGAGCTGCTGAAGACGTCTGAGGACCTGTGAAGGCAGTTCGCCGGCCTCTCCCGTCGGCACCGCGCCGTCCTCGGCACCGCGCCGTCCTCGGCTCTAAACGCTGCGACGTCATTGTTGGCGGGTGACACTACTGAATGGTCCTAATCACAGGCCTCTAAAGGAACACTAAGAGAGACTCAAGACGCTGAGAAAAAGCCATTTTAATAGTTTAACTCTTGTAAATAATGATAGCCTCTAACAATTGTTCCCAGAGCTCCTTCTATCATAGAGTTTTAATATTGTGATCTTTTAATTTATGGTTTCCTGTTGGTTCCTGTGATCAGGAACCACAGAGACAGAGTATTTTAGTAACCAGGGCTTTTACTGGGACGGGGCGGGCGGGTTCTGTTTGTGTGTCTAGCTACTGTAGCATTACATCCTGGGGGACAGAAGTACATCAGGTGACTATTTTTGCAGCTTCTGTTCAGAAGAGGATGTCTGCACACAAAAGAAGTCACTCTTCACCGAGCAACTTTTTTTTTATTGTCCTTTTTCTTTTCAACCGCACGTGGCTGAAGGAAGTAGGTTTGCTCTCCTGTTTTGTTGCTCAAAGAGTCGCCCACCATGCTACTGTCCTCGAAGGAGCGCACTGAAGCCAAATCCTGTTGAGATTCATCTGCAACCTTGTCGTCTAACGGAAAGCAGATAAGCGTTTTTTTTTTTTTTTTTTTTCCTTTTTTTGCTTTTTTTTCCGCCCTGCTGCACATGGCCTTCTCTTTCTTTGTTCGTCCTTCCTCCGGCTGCCTACCTGCAAACAAAACTGCAACTGTGGTATTGCCAAGCACCCATTACTCAGCCTCATGAGTTCAGTCCTAGGTGACGGGACCAAAGATTTGTTTTCTGACAGATGATTTGTTTTTTTTCTCATTTTCCTCAACCTCTGTCTTCTCTTCCTTTTGTTTTTTTTAATTAAAAGAAATCTCCCTGCTGGCTTGGACATACTCATCAGGAATCCATCACTTGCAACAGAATGGAAACAGTAAGGATCAAAATGTTTCCTACACTGCAAAAACACAAAGTCTTAGGAAGTATTTTTGGTCTAGTTTCGAGCATGCTTGAAAGGTTTGCGCAGCTGGCACACATTTCCACGCCAGCGAAGAAGTGTGCGCATATTTACGCAAACTTTGACGCAAAGTTAATTTTTACACATGCCGTGCGTAACATTTTTTGTGCGCTTGCACGCTTTATGCATGAGGACATTTTAGCTTGTCCCATTTATAGCGAAGTACGTTTTCATCGATATCGAAGAATTATCGGCTTAAAACAAGTTCCCTTTTTTATTTTTATTTTTTTTGTTGAACAGTTGCTTTTAAGCTTTTCAAATGTTCTAAGATGTTTGCACTAGAAATTAAATAACAAATACTTGGTAAGACTTGGTGTAACGTACGTCCTCCCATTGGCAGAGGAGAGGAAAAAAAATGGTGCAATTTAATCTCTATTTAATTGATGATTTTAATTATTTTGTTGAACTGTTACCCTTCCCCCCTCCTTAACCAGTTTCATAATATAATATGAAGTATTGAACTTTAACACTTGAATTACATTAGCATTATTTTCACAATGCTAATGTAAAATTAAATAAAAATCCAGTTATGGTATTTTAATATAGACTAATGCAAAACATGAAGTGCTGATTGCACATATGATCATGTTTCAGCAAGTCAAACAAACTGATATCAGCTGGGTAATCAAGCAGAGCCAGCCTGCAGCTGGACGCTCGTCAGAGAAGCCAAGTATTAACGGCAATTAGCCTGATGACTTTAGTTTGCACACAATGACGACTTTCGCTTTTGCTTTTTCTGTTTTTGTAACCAGAGATGTCATCCAGAAATATACAGATATATTTTTTGTTGGCGCGTAAATCCTTTAGTGCACGTTGATGCTTGTAACCGGGCCATGCAACCTTCACACTGTCCGGAGGAATGAAGTCGCGTCGTACACTGCAAAAACACAAAACCTTACTGACTACTTTTGATCTAGTTTCTAGTGCAAAAATCCTAGTATAGTTGAAATAAGACAAAACTCAATTACAAGAAACTGTTCAATAAAATGCAGGAGGTCTGTAATTGATTAAGAAGTATTAGTTATGAATCTACTAGTACTTTTTTATTATTATTTATCTAACACACTTTGACCCCACCTCTCCTCCCACACTACATAACATGTTTGCTGCTATGCTGTCCTTATTTTTCTTTTCCCATGTGCTCTGTTGCTTTCAGCTGGTTTTGGTTCTTTTTTTTTTTTTTCGACCTCAACTCAAACGCCACAATACGAGAAAGGGAAACGGGCGTCATCGGCGACCCGTTGCATTCAAGACTCGAAGCGCCTTCACTTATGCAAGCGTTCACGGAGAGGCTGCTGTGAAACACTATCGGTGTTTAATTTGTACTCTAAAGAGATGGTTTTCGGAATCACCCGACGCCGAACCATCAATCCTGCTGTGATGACGCTGCAAAATGACGTTGCTCTGTTTTTATTATTGTTGTCGTCGTTTTTTTTCCCTTTGTTCGCCTTGTTCCAACTCCTGTTTGGATAATGATGATGACCTCAGTGCATCAGGTGCCAGTTTTCTTTACGATCAACCCAGGGGTTGGTCACCATGTACCACCTATTTGTTTTTTTTTTGTTTGTTTTTTTTCCTAAACTGGAAAAAACCCATAATATGTGTTGCCTTTCCTAAACGTCTGCCTGGTTTCACTTTGTCCGTGCCCTTCAGCTTCTTTTCTTTTAAAGTTCAAAAAAGTGTTTTTGTTTTGCCTACATGCTTTTTATTTTTTTTCCCTTTTATTTTTTGGGTGGGTGTTATTGATTATGGAGTGTAATTGGTCACATTTAGAGGGATGCTAGTTATTTTTCCCCTTTGCCATTTCATACCATTTGTACTTTTTGTCATTTAAAAGCTCGCCGTGTTTTTTTTATTTTTTTATTTTTTTGGATTTCACACCAGCCGCCTTTCAGTTCGTACCTGGCAACAAAATCTGTTGCGAGCACGCTAAATGTATTCAAATTTTTGAATAATAATTAATGACTATTATGTAGGAAGAAGTTGCTCCATTATTTTCGGTATTATCAAGGTTAATAATCTTCTTCATTTTTAGAAAATAACCTTTTTTTTTTTTTTTACTATTTGGCTGTTCCTAAATGTATTTAACCACAACACAAAGCGATGTGCGAAGGTTTGCTTTGTTGTGTGTTTTGTTGACGAGGTCGTGACGGAGGTACGAGGAAGGGGAATGCAAAACCAAGAATTCCCAACCGAAGTTGTCTTGGTAGAAATTTGGTTAGGTGCAATATGCTCTAAACTTAAAAAAAGAAAAAAGGTTGGGGAAAAAAAAATCTAAAATAATTACATAACATCCATAATAGACGGGAGAAAAAATGTACTTGGGAACATTATACAAGGCATGATCTTTCATTCTTCTTATCCTTTTTTTTGTATTGTTTGATTTTTACGATTTTCATTTTTAAAAAAATATATATATTTTTTTTAGAATTTTTTAAATGTATAATTTTTTTGGTTGGCATAACAGAACCAGTGTGGCTGCTGTGAAACCCTCTCTGGTTATTGTACAGAGACGATAATCGAACACCTTCCCATGTGCTGTGAAGTTTCCTGGAAAGTGTCTCATTTGAACACATATCTCTGTTAATTATGTGCTACCTTTACTGCTCCTCGTTCGCCTTTGCCTTGATGTCACATGTAGCTATTTTGAGAAGATATGCTCTCTATATGATAAAGATGCTATTTTTACTTCCAGCCTCCTTAATGATTGTACAAAAGTTGGGATTTTTATATCGGTCTAAACCAGTCCCAAGTATGTGTAAAAGATGTTGAGAACCCTGACAATTTAGTTTTTTGTTTGCTTTTTTTTTGTTGTTTGGATGTAAGTGTAGTAATGCATCTTGAATAATGTCTGTGGTGTAATTTTAAAGGTTCCTTATTGTGGAGCTTGGGGTCCATTTCCACTTGTTGGTTTAAAAATAAAATAAAATAAGGAAACGCGAGCCTGAGCTGCAAACGATCAGCAATGGAGAAACCTAAACTGAAAAGCTATGCAGTAACTAACTCATCTGTTAGATCTCTTCTTTAGCAAACAGAGTCGTCTTGCTTGTAAATACTTCTTTCTTTTTTTTTTTTTTTTTGTTTCGTTCGTTTTAAATATGCAACCCAGTTAGTGTTTCCTCTTTGTGAAATCCTGCGTGAAACTCGATAATTTCTGTCCTGCTGATTCTGCCGTCGACTTTGGCTCATTGGATGTTGTAGAACCGGTTATGTATGGACTGAAACATGAGCTGTCACACAAAGTTTAAGAGGTTCGAGTTATTTTTGAACGTTAAAGTAAAAAAAAAAAACACACAAAAAAAAACGCAGGTCTTTTGTAGGTTGAATTAAGTGGTGAAGGGAAGAAATCATTTTTTTTTTTGTCTTGTTTTGTATTTGCTCGTTTTGCCCGTCTCTCGTTTCCTCCAGCGCTTTCCTAATATGGTCAAACATCCCGTCGCTTCAGCATATCCAGCCTTTAAACTGTCCTTTTTTCTTTGTGCTCAGCCGGCAGAACGGATCCGATCACCTTCCTGTATCCGATCTTGCAGAGATTTGTATATGATAGTAAAAATAATAACAATAATACGACGTATTACAACACCAGCAATCTGTCTGTCGATCAAGTGGTTTTAACTGTTCTGAGCCTGGCTTTTCCAAGCGCAGCTCTGCACTCTCGTTTCCGAATCCAAAGCGCAGATGAGCAACAACGACAGACAAAGTTTGTAAAAGCTGCAAATAAATTCAGCAGCTGTTGGATTTGCTCCATATTTTTAATATAAGAGTTGTTTGTATTCACGTTCAGAGGTTTTTAAACTCCGCTGACGGGGTGGATGAGAACAGGCTGCGAGCTGTAACGTCTAATCGGACCGTTTGGATGCCTTTTGCTTTCTGTCTGCTGGATTTCAGTGCTAGTTGTTTCCTGAGGCCCGGAAAAAGTTTGGGAGACTCAGTGCTGGGTGTCGGGGGTCAGTTCTGCTGCTGCTTTTACTTTTTGTTTAAAGAATAATAATAATAAAGAAAAGATTTGATTGGGAGGGGAAAAACGACGGTTCAAAAAGAAGAGGCTCCTCGCCTTTGTGCAATGTGTATGTACTGATGTGAAGAGATTTTTTTTTTTTCTAACAAAGAAATAAAACTAAAACTGGATTTGAAAACAAAAATGTGTTCTGGATGTTTGTTTTTCACTATTTGTATAGACTTTTAAAGGAAAAAAAGGAATTGGATTACATCTCCTTTCCGTTATTATTCAAATAACTGATTCTTACCGGAGTGGCCCAGTGAAACCCACCCAATGCATGGAGAGCGTAGAAACTCCACATCGAAGCTCCGACCGGGTTGGAATTTGACCCATGACCCTTTCCACGGTGATGCAGCAGAGCAAAACGGTGCTGCGCAGATGATTAACTCGTTTTGGACAAACTGTTCAAAAGCACCAGAAATCCACACGATTCAAGTCCCTAGAATTCAACCAAAATGGAACATCTCTCTTGGCATTCAGCCATTATGAATTTTGTAGGTCATTTATTGACTGTGGAGGTTTTCTGAAATGTGCCTTCAAATGTTCCGTCAAGAGAAAACCCCGGGTAGGAACAGAAGTTGAGACAGAGCTGCTAGATTTGCTTAAAGTTTTCTACAACTCCTGATTAAAATGTTGTCGGAAAATGATTCAGGTATTATTTTCCAAACATGGACTATTATGTAATTTGGTCATTTGGGGGGTTGAATGATCCACCACTGGATGTAACACTCAATGACCAATTATCAATTATGTAACGTCGACATGATCCTGCATGTCTTCTCTCTGTTCTTCTAAGCACTTGCCTGTTCAGTGTAAACCACGTAGATCCCCCCTCCCCAGGTGAACTAAGCAAATTTTGTTTCCGCTGTAACTTAAAATTGGGAATGAAAACGTCTTCACTGCAGCTTCCGCTCTGAGAATTCACTGATCTGTTTTACCCGATCATTCAGAAGCCGATTGACACTGGAGGCCAGAAATTGTGCTTGGATTTAAATCTGCTCTGTACCGTTTTTTAATTTTATGTCACATCTGTAAGTCAAAGATTTGAACCTGCAGAGCTTAAAGATTTTTTGCTTTTTCCTTTTTGTTTTTTCTTTCAGACTTTCTAATACAAACGTGTGTGTCCTTAAGACTACCGCTGCTCATTGTTATGTATTATTCTTGTGCGTTTATTCTTATTATTCCTTTATTTATTTATTTATTTATTCTAATGTCTATTGTGTGCTGTGCTGGGACAAACACAACTTGTCCCTCTTTATGGGGATCAATAAAATCTTATCTTCGTATCTTATTTTAAAATATCCACTATGATGAGTCTGTGGATCGCCTGGTGTTTTTGTTGAGTCTCTCCCTCGTTTCTGATGACATGTTGTTACATGAGGTTTGGAAACACCCTGTTCTAGTTTGCAGGTGTCTGCAGCTCACAGGAAGGCAAATTGTTCAACACGCCTCTTTCCCTTCTCCAGTTTGTGGCGGCGATAAACTTTCAAATTACTATTCAAATTCAACAAGAGGGTTAGACGGGGGTCGCTTTGCAACTTTTATTACATTTCTGATCCAACGGTGATCTTGGCATTATTCTTGCCGATGTCCTCTGCGCTTGGCACAAATTCAGTTTGACTTTTTTTTTTTTTTTTTTGAACCTATCTTGGCTTCATTACAGCAGTGTTCTAAGTGCAGAAATGAACAAAAAACAAACAGGGAAAACCAGTGTGGAGGAATCCTCTTCTTGCTCCTCCTCCTCTGATCTCCTCTGATATCTTCAGTTTGCAGGCTGGCTTGTCCTGCTGAACACCGTCAGGACTTTCCAAAGCAGGAACACCTTCACCGTTCGACCTCATCTGAAGATCCCGAGGCTGAAATTCAGAGCTGCAGAGGGCGACTGATGTAAGTACGAGGCTCTCACTTTTTTTAGTCATTGACAGTGTTTTGTGCTGCACTGGCCATCTGCTTATTTCTACAGTCTATGCTTAGTGAAATCTTGCAGTTTGCTAAAAATGTTGCTTAATTTGTAAAGGATGCACTTAATTTAATACACCAGCTTTGATCAGTTCTTGCAGTAAAAAAAAAATAAAAAATAAAAAAAAAAAATATATATATATATATATATATATATATATATATATATATATATATATATATATATATATAACAAAACATTTTTCTTTTTGCAGCTAAAAGCATTTACCTGCACAAGAAATCCTTTGCTGTTTGTTTTTTTGTTTTTGTTTTTTTAATTATTTTCCTTTTGTTTGTTTTGATGCAAATATGAGCCAATTCCACAGGACAACATAATCCCACATTTAACTGAAATGACTTTTCAGCCTCCAAAAACACAATGAAGTTCTCCCAGGCAGTGCCACATGTTGCTTTCGTTGGCGACAGCCTGAGACGGAATACAGCTGAGCATGATAAAGGACTGGCTCGGTGCCAGTGCACCTCGGTGAAAGAGAAAGCCTGTCACGTTAATGGACACATGCAACCCAAACTGACCTCGCAGCCCATCTCCTCATCACGATAAGCTTTCTGGAAATAAGTGACAAAGCACAAGAAAGCACACAGAAACCTTTGGACGGAAATAAACATTTCAGCATGACCAATGATCTGCTCTGCTTGGGTTCACGCCGTTGCAGGAGCTCCCTGTGTGTGTGATCTGCAGTACAACGAAGTTTTGACTCAAAGGCAATAAATCAATCAATAAATAAACCCTTCATTTAAAGATGACAAAGATATCTGTCCTTGTGTTTTGATGATGAAATATCGAATTCAGTGTAAATTTACTCTGTTTCACTGGGATTTAAGGGATTCGGCAAAACCAAAACACTTTGGCTACACCAGGGAAGAGATGCGGTTTTATAAAATTGTTGTGAACGTCGAGCTCAGAGCAGTCGCTGGAGACATTTTCTAATGAGAAGAGGCCAAACTTCCAAAATATGGAGGGGGTGTCGTAGAAGAAACCAGTTGTGAATAACAAGGCAGGGAGGTGAATGTACAAAGGAAGGAGAGACAAAAGAACCAATTACAACAGACGGGACAAAACATCGACGGCACCAGAAGAAAACCAAAGCCGTAGCAGAAATAAAAACGAAATGACAAACAAATCCAACACTCTTCAGTAAGACGTGACTGAACTAACGGACGAAACAAAGCTAGGATGAGAGACGAATAAAAAACTAAAAAAAGGAAATGACAGAATCAAAGGTCCAAAGCAGGCAGTGGTCACAACCGAGGTATTCTTTTCCTAAAACCTAAAACCTGCCATGTTTACCCAAAGCCCTTTACATTGGCAAACCAGAATGTGATTCTGTGAACCAGTCGTCTACAGAGCTCATGCAGCTTGATAAGGAAGTGCACATTTATGTACTCTGTTTAGAGTGCAAACATAACTGGGGTAAAGAACATTAGTAATCAGACAGCATTATGAAGATCAAGTAACACAGCAAAATCGGAGATGCACTTGGTCAAGTTTAATGTTGATTGTCATGATCTGCGAGTCGTCGTGTTTTATATTCCGTTCGGTAATATTTAGTATTTTTGTTATTTGCGACGCTCCATCGACGGTTCACTCGACTTTTAAGACTTTTGGTTCTTGCTCGGGTTTGTTCCTCATATATTGGCTGAGTTTCTTATTTCAGTTTTAGTCTTTAGTGTTTGATTTGGTGAATCCCTTGGATTGCTGTGTAAAAACACACTTGATCACCTCCCAGCAGCTTTACTCCAGTTGGTTTCACTGTTCCAGATCCTTCTGCTGCCAGTCATGTCCGTTCCACCTGTCCTGCTGTTGCATGTCCTATGGTGCACTGCTCACATAATATTCCCGTCTGCTGTTCCTCTCCTGCTCCTTTTTTCGTTAAGAGGCCCAGGAAGTCGAAAAGGTGAGAAGAGTTTGGAGAGAGAGGGAGAGAAGGCATGAAGACCTTTGAGCAAGAGCAGCAGGTCCTGCCAGTAAAAGGCGCCTCGCATCCGTAGGCCGCAGAGCAGCGGCGGTCAGTCCCCCTGGAGTGATGGCGGCTGTGAGGGAGGAGAGGCGTGGAGGAGGCAGGGGGGCCTCCAGGGCCACAAACCCGCCAGAGGGCGGCTGGGGCTGGATGGTCGTCGCCGGCTGTTTCCTCGCCACCATCTGCATTCGGGCAGTGACCAGGTAATGTAAGAAATATCCCGCCCCGTTTTCTCACCACGTTCAAAACCACTCACATCTTTTGACTCATTATTTTATCGCTGTAGATTATTAAAAGAAGCCAAAAGCACGACTCTTTCCAGGTGCCTCTGCACAGCACCTCTCATAACTTGGAGCGATTTTAAATGTTCTCAAGCCGTGTGCAGGATGAAAATATATTGAACTAGAGAAAATTTTGCTAAGCACTCAAATAAGCACATTTACTATTTCAAATAAATACACATGTTTAGAAGGTCAGTTCCTCTTCTTCAGCAACAACAAATCTGTTTTAAAATGGGTGATTTGTCAGTTTCATCCCTGTGTGAGTGTTTAACCGAGTCTACAGAAAACACATGGACCTCACTCTTTAGACCTGAGTCTTTGTAACTTTGTAAAACACTGTCTGGGACTCACGTCCAGATTACAGGGTCAAATTTTACACGCATTTTGACTTGACAGTTGAATATCCCTGACCCTAACCCTAACCCTAACCTTTTGTCCAGTTACCAGCTGATCACGTCTTCACTGTCTCTTGCATTTATACAAATTATTTCTCAAAAAAACAAAAAACAAAAATGGACTGCATGCTCTGTGAATCTAAATTGAGGGTCCAACAAATTTGCAACATTTTACAGTTTTAAATGTCTAGGCCAAATCCATTACAGTTCATGGTAAAACTGACGGGACTGAAACCGTTTCTCCTCCATACAGATGCATTTCCATGTTCTTCATGGAGTTCCAGATGTACTTTGAGAGAGATTACGCCACCACTGCTTGGATCCACAGCATGATTGACTGCACCACCATGCTCTGTGGTAAAACATGCATCTGCTTTTAGGCACTCATAGGACTCACATGAATGTCTTGCGGAAGAGCTAAGACCTCTCCAACTCTTCCTGTTTTTATTTTGTAAATTGGTCTGTCAAATAAAATTAAAGTGAGCGCGCATGAAGCACGTGGAAGTTCGTAGTTGCAGTGTAACAAAGTCAAACATGGATAAATGAATAAATGAAAGAGCAAAATGCAAGTAAGCTGTTTTTCTCAGCTCCTCTTGGTAGTTTCCTTGGGAACCGATTGTCCTGCAGAGTCACGGTGTTTCTTGGAGGACTTCTGTCCTCTGCCGGCCTGGTCCTCAGCTCCTTCGCCTCCAGTCTGGAATTCCTCTATGCTTCGTTGGGAATCCTCACAGGTACGAACGCAATCATTGATGACACGGAAACACCTTTATTATTATCACCATTATAGGGCACCGCAGACTAAATTAGGCACTCATTTTGGATAAGTGGTTTCCTGAAATGTCTTAAAGCAAGCTTTTAATACTGTTAGAGGAAATAATCATTTGATTCAATTCAACCTACAATCAGAGTTTTATGGCCAGGATCAATCCCTCGCTTTTGTGAAGCTGCTATTTTTAGCGTGCTCTAATTTCTCTTTAAGAACTGCACTGTAAAATACGAGCAGCATTAAAACTACTTTTTCCTCACCTTCCTGCTGTGAGTGGACATTTACGATGTGAAAGTCTGCAGTGAGAGTTGCTGACGCAGAGCAAAACAAAAGTTCAACTTTTTGACCTGTCTGGCCTCTTTGTATTACCAGTGACTGTGATTAGCGTGATTAGCGTGACTCGCTGTGTTTGTGCTGTGTAGATCCTAACCTTAACTCTTTGAGTTTTCCAAAAGACTGCCAGCATTTCTAAATCGCCCGCGTTTCATGACAGAGAGAGGCCGAAAGCTCAACTAGAGAAAGCGGAGGAACTTCTGGCACTCTTTTTTACACTCATAAATAAACCTTGCTTATTTCTTTCAGTCTTTATTTTAAATTTTAAACGGCTCAAAGTGTTTTATTGCATCAGTGCCAAAACCATCACGTCAAACTTAATAATTTTTTTTTTTTCATTGTCAATAAACGAATCCAAACATTTTTGATGCATTGTTTGTGTTCAAATGTAAGCATTTACATCTTATATTAGCCATTAGCGTGATTAGCATTGTCAGCGTTACTGGCTGTGAATTGTGCACATCCTGACATTAACTCTGACATTACAAATTCTTTATTCATCCTCCACAGGCCTTGGCTATGCCCTAAGCTACACAACGACTATAGCGATGGTTGGAAAGTACTTCAATGAGAGGAAAGCACTAGCTTATGGACTTGCTCTATCTGGTACTGACCTCCTTCACCTCACTGACCAAGTCTCCCTCTTTTTGTTCTTTTTCTTTGTATTTTGTGCCTTTTTCTCCGCTGTTTTCTTTTCATTTTTAGAGATCTCATATAATTCCTCCTTTTAAATTTCTCTCTTGCGTCCAGGAACCGGCATCGGGACCTTTCTCCTGGCCCCGGTAGTCCAGCTGCTTATCGAGCATTATTCCTGGAGAGGAGCTCTGCTCGTCCTGGGAGGATTTGTTTCTAACCTGTGCGTCTGTGGCGCTCTGATGAGGCCGCTGGAGCAGAACCCAGCTGAAAGGTCAGCCCTTCGCAACATCACCGCCGTTATTTACTGCAGTGGCTCCCAAAGATTTTATTCTGGGCCCACCTATGAATTACGATAAAATCAACTGGGCGCACACATTGTTCAACCAGGCATTTCACCATGTTCCAAATTATTATGCAAGTGATATTTTCTCAGAGTTTCCTAAATGGTCAGTGGAAATGATGGTCAGTATAATTTTCAAGTCATGAACCGTTACAGTATAAATCAAATTTTACTGTAACAAAGCTCGCCAGGAGAACAGTATTTTTTCCACAAATAAAAAACTTACAATCCACTGTTCCAAATGATTATGCACAGCAGATTTTCTAAACATTTTATGGATTATAAAGAACTGCAAACGATCATCCTTTGAATGTTCAGCATTAAGTGGTCATCCATCCATCCATTTCTTTACACCCTTGTCCCCACTGGGGTCGGGAGGTGCTGGTGCCCATCTCCAGCTAAAGTTCTGGGCGAGAGAAACATCTTAAGAGACAGAGTTACATGTTAACATAGAATCCCTTGTTTGACATCACCTGCACAATTATTGCATCCATTGAACTTGTGAATTTGTGGAAAGTTTCTGCTGGCATTTCTTTGCAGGATGTCAGAAAACCTTCCCAGATTTTGATTTGAACAGCGTTCCACCCTCAGATCTGCTTGAGGAAACTCCAGAGGTTCTCAATAGGGTTGAGGTCAGATGGTGACCACCAGCAGCTTCAAATAACTGTTTGCTGCTTTGCAAGGGCATTTTAACAGCTGCTCTCTTAATCCCATGAATTAGTCTCACAGAAACCTTCCTCATTATGCCTTTGTCTGTACAAACCCATCTTTGTTCTGAATGAGCCACAAATCTCCTCCACAAATTTCCTTTAATTGAGCTCACCAGACAAACTAATCAACCGGCTTTCTGAAAGTAATTATAGTGATTCAAAAAGCTGTGACACGTAATACTGTCTACAAATTTAATAGCACAACAAAAAATGTAATCTTCGTGACATTTAAATCCAATTTGCATAATAATTAGGAACATGGTGTAAACCTATACACACGTTTTGTTTTAGTTGATGTTTTAGCTCCACCTGTTTTGGTCAACAGGTGGAGCTAGATGCTCACTATTGATAGTAAATTAATTAGGTTCCAGGAAGGATGCCAGCCCTGGTTAGAGAGCGTCACAAGTCTCACAATGAATGAATATTTCAATGTTTTAGAAAACTCTCCCAATGAAACATTAAGAAAAAGTCATTTATTTGATTGCAGTAATTCTGTGGCAAAACTAAAATCCAAAGGTGAAGAGTTTCTCGTTTTTGCAAAAGCACCTACGCCACAGCTGGATCCTCCCTTCTCTAGCTCTTCTCACAAGATTCCCTCATGATTCAGGTTGTAGGACTAAAGAAGATGCATAATTTTGTCTCTGGTGAATATTTAAATGTTTCCTCAATTTGGTTTTCTTCTCTGAGAGTCACTGACTGAAGTGCAGAAGTTGTCAGATTTTTATTTAAATTACCTGCAGACCTACAGCATCTCAAGTCCTCAGCTTGAGGACTTGAGATGCTGCTGATGCATGGAGTTCTGTCCCCCAAATCTTGTGGCCCAAAAATCATTCTTATCAAATACATATGGAATTCTAGGAGCAACAAGCGATGTGGTAAACAGGTGGATGAAAGTGCTTGGTCAGATGAACCGAATATACATTTTTTGTGCTGTGGGTCCAAGTCCAGATTTTAATAAAATTAAGCGTTGTTAATACTTCTACAGAGCATCGTATCCAGTCATTTTTATTTCTTGGTTTGTGTTGTTCTGTCTGAAGGATTTGGGAGAACAACATGACAAACGTGGAGAAAGCCTGCATGACTGCGGTGCTGCAAACTGAACTCGCTGAACCAGTGAGCACCGACTGGGGCCGAGAAGACCCGAAGCAGCAACAAATCTGTGGTTCGGAGAACAAACCGGGCCTCATCATCATCAATGGAACCTACAAGAACTTCGGACTTGAAAAAGACAAGCTTCAGCAGAGTTTCACACTATTACCAAGGCCAAAGCCGACGGATGCCAGGATGAAGGATAAGAAAATGGCAGACTGCCTCCTGTTAAGCAACAAGCTGGAGGAGGCGGGTTTATCAGGTCCAACGATTCCGGACAGCAGGAGGAAAGATGAAAAGCCAAAGTCAAGCAACACCTGGATGAAAGCTAATAATAAAAGAGACAACTCCAGATCTAGTGAAATGACATTCAACGAAGCAATTCCTACTGGGCCGTTGGTATCCTCACAGCCGCTGTCTAGAGGCCAGTCTTTCTTTTTTAAAGCGAAGGAAGAGATTGGCTTCCTGTGCATTCCCAGATTCTTGGTCCTGTCCGTTTCCTTTGTGTTTCTGGCGTTTGGCTGCAGCATCCCAGTAGTCTACCTCGTCCCTTACGCTCTGAGTGTCGGGGTGGAGCACCAGCACACCGCCTTCCTCATGTCAATATTCGGTGTCAGTGGGATTGTGGGCAACATCACATTTGGATGGATCACAGACAGGACGTGAGTGACAAAAGGAGACTTTCATCATTAAATCAAAGCTCTGTCGTAACCGTCTTCCTCCCATCCAGGTGTCTGAAGAGGCATCGCCTGCTCAGCTACGTAGTGGCCATAAGCATGGAGGGTCTTTGTTGCGTGTTCCTGCCTTTGCTCCATTCCTTCCCGCTCCTGGTGCCGTTTTCTGTTCTCTACGGATACTTTGACGGGGCATATGTGGCGCTGATACCAGTCGTGACTTCTGACACTGTGGGCTCCGCCCATCTTGCCTCGGCCTTGGGTGTGGTGTACTTCCTGCATGCCATCCCATACTTGGTCAGCCCACCTATAGGAGGTAAGAGTTATCCAATAATTATTGTATCTCATAAGTTTTTTTTTTTCATTCTGAATTTCCTAAAGGGGTAGTTTTATGTAAAGTTGACGTTTTTGAGCGTCACATCATTTATTCCCTCATCGAAACATACTCCCTCATCCTTCACGCATTCAGACGAAGCTCCTCCTCTGAACTGCAGTTTCCAAACTTCTGAGCTTCTGCCTCCCAGAGCGAGCAGCCCTCCCCCGTGACTATCCCGTTTAGTTCCTTCAGACTAGCCATCAGCAATTAGCAAACGCCTGATGGAATTACATGTCTGCTGAGTTCATTGTGTGAGCGAGTCCTCAGTTCAACGCTGGTGAAAACATTTTTAAGGGGATAAAAGAGGAGCTTTGTTGTGATGACTTCCTGAAGGTGGAGTTTCAAGAAGAGCAGGAGTTTCTTAAAGAGACGGAAAACCAATTTCAAGGTGTTAAAATATGAAGCCAAATTTCTTTTAAGTTATATTTGTACATTTATAAAATTACATAGCATTTTTATAACAACTGAAGTGACAAAATGGCACTATGTGCCTGGAAAATACATAATACTGCCCCTTTAAATTAGTAAGTTTACTTGGTAAATCTCTGTTTTGTAAGGGTGAATGAATTTCTCTTAATCATTGCAGATGCATCTCTTTGTATATTAGAAACATAATTGTTTTCATATATTTGCAGATTAAACATTTGTGTCTGTTGATCCATCAGCTAATCTTAGCTTTGAGTGTTAGTAACAATATATCAATCGTTATGTGGCTCGTTTTCTTCCTTCTTCTCCAGGTTGGTTTGTAGATCAGACTGGGAACTACACATTAACCTTCTTCATCAGCGGCGCTTCCTTCTTCCTCACCTCTCTGGTCCTCGTGGCGGCGCCTTTAGCTACGCGTCTGACGGCGCTGTGCGAAAGGACTCTAGGTCACGGAAGACGCTGAAGGGAAAGAAATCAGTCAGAGACTGCGCCTGTTTTCTTGCAAAACGAAACACACACGGTGCCTTTGCGGAAGCCCTAATACCTCTTGAACTTTTTCCCGTTTTGTCACGTTACGACCTCAGCTGCTATGTCGTTGAGATTTGTTTCATGAGTTAAACCAAACACTGCAGAGAAGCAGGAGATGGAATCCTTTTCTTCTTCAACGGTTGTCCGTAAAATTTGGAATCCGTGACATGTAGTTGTATTAGTTACTCTGACATTTCGAATAAAAACCTCATTTCAGCCAACTCTCTACAGAAATGACCTGTGTGTCGTCAGTGTAGTCGAGTCGTTTCTTCACAAGTTTGAAAAACAAGCATTTCAGTTTTTTGAATGTATAGAGAAAACCTACTGTACTCAGAAATGCTAAACTGACTGGCACGTTTTACCTCCACATGTGACGATGTATCATACATAAAATGCCCATTTCATTATTTTCAGAATGTGACACATCATCTCTCTTTTTATTTTTGTAAAGTTTTACAAAAATAAAAGCAACATGTTTTCGTAACTTTTTTTGTTTAGAGTGAAACTGTTAACTGAAACTTTTGACTCACAGCAGTTGGTATACCGCTTTCCTTAAAGCATCTTGAAACAATTTTCACATCCTTTTACCTCAGCAAGTCATGAAAGACTTGGACTTTGAATACGAGATGTACTTTTTGGTTATATCAGATTGCGGGTCATTTAATCACACCCGTATTAAAGAGATCTCAAACACGAGCATCTTAAATTAGCTTCCACCGTGTGGTGGTTTCAGTCTTGAGGTCTGTTCATGCGCATGCATGTTTGTGAACTACTGGCAGTAGCAGCCGTCAACTGTGAGCTTGTGCAGTTGGAGAAGCTGAGGCACTTGGATAAGCTCATCGGGAAAGCCAGCTCTGTCAAAGCACTTCCCTTCCCGAAAGGGACCAAACAAAGTAGAACAACCACAAGGTGGTTGGAAAAGGGAGAACTGATGAAACAAGAGATACTGAAGAAACCCTAACCCTACACAGAGCATTCTGATGCTAAAAATGAGCATCAGTTCTAAGAAACAGCATGTGGAGTATCAATGTTATATTGTCCAATGTGAACTGCATCCATTCAGTATGCAAACATAAGTGTATAAGCTAAAATGATCCAAAATACTAATGTTATCCTAAGAGCTGTCAGTGGGATGTGGGGTATGAATGGCACTTATCTATGCATTCAGAATACTAAACATAGATAAATAAAATATAAAAAATAGTTAAAATGCGCATTGCACTGCTAATGTTAGTGCTAATGTCAGCAACATGCTAGCCTCCCACTAGAGAAGCTAGCATGTTGACCTACTAGCATTTACTTGCACGTATCAGTGCGGGAAGCAAAACAGCAATCATGGCAGACAATTAACGAAGATTAACTTTTAATCTGGACAACAACTTCAAAATTGCAAGATGTGCTGCACTGTTAGCATCCATCTTTACTTCAGCTAACACTGAGCACTCTCTCTATCTAGGTGATGTTATTGCACCCTCTGCTGTGCATGAGGTACACTTTCGGGTCTTTTGCCGTTCACACCATAGAACACGTACAAGTTGCATATTTGGAGGTGCTCCTATGCAAAGCAATGCTTTGCATAGGAGCTTTGCATAGGAGAGCAAAGCAAAGCTCTTCTATGCGTTGCTATGGAAGGCCCCAAATATTGTCGGTTTCGGACGATGCAGATGTAGAGAGTTAATGTAGTGGCTAAGGCAGAGTGTATTGATCTAAATATTGATCAATACCGAGGTGAGTATTGTTTTCTATCGTGGTTAATAAAAACAACACTTTCATTTGTCTAAAATCTTTGTCCTGTATTTGATTGAAACCATAATCGACTAACTGAAGTCCAATCACTGAATTATTCAGTGATTGGGATTTATTTTTTAAAGTAATAGTACCAGTATTGGCATTGGCGATACAAGCTCCGTATTTACTTATCGGATAAATACCCCAAATTTGCAATATTGCACACCTATGTGAGTGGCACCTGTAGTGTTGTAAATGCACAAAGTGGTGTCATCATAATTTTTCCATTACAGTGGAGTGTTTCTCACGATGCAAAAATGTGATTAAGGAGTCATTCATTCGATTCAGAGCATGGATGCATCTATTCCATACACATCCTGCAAGAATAAGGAAATGTGTTCTTTCTCTCAGGACAATCGACCTAACTCTGTTGTAGCAGTCCCGGTTTGGGACTTCTCGCAGCTTGTTCTTGACACATCGGACGGGCAGGACATCTTATACTGGTGTTGCACACCAGCGCTGCAGTGGGATGGACCTCTGAGGATTTCCCAAGTGTTCTGGATTCGAGTTCTTGTGAAGTACGACACGACCTAGTCAGAAACAACATTCTGCTCTTGCAGTTGCTTCCCACAATAGAAGAGCAAAACTTTCTTTTCAGGCAGAGAATGTGTTGGTCTTTGAAGCTGCAGAGCAATTTGCCAGGGTCTTACAATAATAGCTTTCTTACAAAGTCACCTTAAAAGTACTGACACCTACTCAGGTGGTTGTACTTCGGAAAAAAGTGCATCTTTGTTGTCTGTTGAAAAACATCTTTATGTAAGAAAGGCGAATGGCGTGATCTCCAAATCGGAAGTAAGACTGGTTTGATCGTCGCTGAAATCTTTGAACTTGGCCAACACACACACGCACACAGGTTTTTTTTTGTTTTCTTTCTTTTTTATACGGTGGTTGCAATGTATGCTGCCATATATGGAGCGAGGACTCCATGTTCTCTTCTTTTGTGTTGCCTCTAAGCTGTGCGTTTGTGAGTGCGTGTCTTCGGAGAGAACCCGCCACCGCACAGGGAGCCCTGTGTTGCTGCGCTGCTTGTGTGTTTCCTCCACATCCTCAATGATGTGTGTAGGATATGATGTGTGTACTGTGTCACTGTACATATTTCTGAAGTTGTCCATCATAAATGGTTATAAGTGGTATTCTCACTTGACTCCCATTCGCCATTGCGAAATTGTCAACGAGGTCATTTCTCTGAGCAATGGGTTTGTTTGTGTTGCATAAATGTGATTTCCAAGTCTGTAAGTTTAAATGAAAACAAGAGACTGGGTTATTATTAGCTAGGAGGAGTTAAAATATCTCGTTCTCACAAAGTCTGCGCAGACGGAGATCGCAGATCACTAATGCTCTGAGAAAGACTTTCGTAGCATCAAGTGGGGAGAAGGCAAGATGTTCTCTTTGTGGTCTGTTTGAGGATGCTTTCGGTGTTGTTTTCTGTAATTGTGAGAGATCTGATAAGGTCGTTTCAAGCGAACAGTCATACCGGCTAAAAATCTGAAAGTAATTGCACCAGTTTTGTCAGGGGGCAACTTTAAAAGAAGTGAAACGTGCATGCAGCCAGACGTTTTGCCTGAGTTTATTCTTTTTAGGTAGAATCTTAGGCTGAAATGTGTCGGCGGGGATCATGCCGCTGGTTATTTGATAAGCGCAAAACATCCGAGAGGTTTTGTGTGTAAATTGCCTCAATACGGGATGTAGCCTTCTGATGAAACACTATGTGGCCTGTGTGTGTGTGTGTGCACCTTTTCAAAGAGAAGTTTCCACTGTGTAGGTGGATGCGTGGGAGGCAGACAGAGGAGGGGTTTCCTCTGAACCTGGCATCCCCAAACACAGAAAAGTAAAGGACTTCCCCATGTAACTACACACACACACCACACACCAAGATTTAATGCTGATTAGCTATAATTAATTATCTTCTATAAGATTTACTCCTACTCCTAGAAGTTGATGTTGAATTCGAGTCTGTTGTGGTTACCTCACACTCGTTCCAGTGTCTGTGTTGACTTTCCTTTGCTTTTTATAAGTTGACATTTTTAAAGCCAATGTGAATTTGAGGAGGAATGTTTATGTCTTTAGACAATCTAAAGCACTGCGATGAATCCATTGGCGGTACTTGCTATTTTATATGTATTTGCCATTAAAAGAAAAAAAATATATATATATATATATATATATATTGTGTGTTTGATAACAACACAGGAAGACCTGTTTTGATGCTAGTTGCGTTTTTCAGATTTTTTTTTATTCTGTCCCATAAAATCTAAATAATTTCTTTCTTGTGATTTAAACCCGCCATTTAGACGTAATTCAACCACAAATGCTGCTGAATGTCACGACAGCAATGCTGATGTCAGTCGGGAAAGGATGCCTCTCTCTCTCTTTTTGACTCTCTCTCTCCCTCTCTCTCTCTCTCTCTCTCACACACACACACACACACCCCCCACACCCCCCCCCCACCACACACACATGCATACAAATGACACCTGCGTTGTTGGTTTCCACAAGATTGACTCTCTGATAAACTTTTGTCAAGCTGCAGCCAGGTGCATGGTGTCGCCGTACGTATGCGTTTATGAGTGTGTGTGTGTTTCACCACATGACTTAGACACACACTCTGTGGCTAGAGAGACATTGCTTAAGACACAAGCTGCTCCAGAGGAAGCACAGGTGAAAAGTAGACACTTCCACACCCACCCATTGTTTATGTTGCCTCCTGTTTGTTTTTAGGTTTTAACTTATTCATCTGTTATCGCTCGTCGCTATAAACCACGCTGCAGTCGTTTTGTTTCAGTGCTTAGTTATTGATTTTTAAGTGTTGGATAAACTGTGATGTTATTAATCAAATGTTTGTTCTTCTCATTCCTCTTTATAATGTATCTTTTCTTATATGCTTTTATTGTTTAATTTCATCTTAGAGTTAAGAATGTTTCTGTATTGTTGATTTACTCTGATTCCTTTCTCAGAAGGCCTCACTGAAGGAAAGCAGTGACAACAGGTTTCTGCAGGGTTATCTCTCATCGGGAAGCAAGGCCTCTTTGACCGACCAGATTGCTATAAAACTATGACTGTGAAGATGTGCAACTTGCTCTGTTTAACTATGTGTCTGGAACGAGACTATCAAGTGCAAGATACCTTGTGTTGTAGTTAGTGATTGTCATTGGCGCTGTAGCTATGTGATGAAGTGTTTTCCCCTCCCTTTAGAGTTACAGCGTTCTTTGTGATTAGGGATCCTGACAACAATAAAAAGAGAGGAGCAGACGAATGTGTTTTCATAGCGGTAGGAAATTGTAACTGGAAGCACATCTCTGTCTGTTCTCCTCGCTAGTAAGAAAGAATCTAACTCTCTTGTCTTTCCTGTGTTTGTTTAATCTGAGTTTAATAGGTGTTAAACCTGACATTAAGAAACTTTGAAGGTTTTTTTTTGCCAAATTATTGATAAAAG